GGCATTTTCAATTGAAGAGATTGAAGAAAGGTTAAGGAGTTGTGAAGGCACTAAGACGCCTGGGACTGATAGGTATAATTTAAATTACATCAGATTTGCTTAGAGTACTTGGAGGATTTTGTCAATTTCTTCAATGAATTTTATAAAAATGGCAAGTTAGTAAAAGATCTAAATTCTTCCTTGTTGACTTTGATTCCGAAGAAGCATAATCCTACGGAATTGAAGGATTATCATCCTATTAGTTTGATTGGGTGTGTTTATATATTGCTGGCAAAGGTGTTAGCTAAGAAACTTAAATCGGTGATGTCAAAGATTATTAGTGAAACCCAATTTGCTTTCTTGGGGAGTCATCAATTGGTGGATGATGTTTTGGCTTTGAATGAAGTTGTAGATGAGGTGAAGAAGAGTAAACAACTGGCTTTTGTTTTCAAAGCAAATTTTGAAAAAGCCTATGATTGTGTTGATTGGTCATTTTTGGACTGGATGATGGAGCAATTTGGTTTTGGCGCTAGGTGGCGAGGTTGGATTAAGGAGTGTTTATCGACAGAAAAGGTTTCAATGTTAGTCAATGGTAGTCCAATTGAGGAGTTTGGGGTTGGAAAAGGGTTAAGACAAGGTGATCCTTTGTCTCCTTTTCTCTTTTTGATGATTGGTGAAGGCTTACATAGGTTACTCAAAAAAGTAGAATTGGAAAGGTTGTTTAGAGGTGGTTCTATAGGGAGAAGGGGTCTAATTGTATCTTTACTTCAATTTGCAGATGATATGATGATTTTGGATAAGCTGACGTGGAGAATATTTTCATGTTTAAAATCGTGATACGATGGTTTGAGTTGATGTCAGGGTTGCAGATTAATTTTAGTAAAAGTAGTGTTTATGGGTTTAATGTGTCATTGAGATAGTTAAATGGGGTAGCATGTTCTTTGCAGTGTGATGTTGGAAAAATACCTTTCTTGTATTTGGGTTTGCCTGTCAGGGGTAAATCTGAAAGTCAAAAGATGTGGGATCCAATGGTTAATCGATTTCGAGCCAAACTTGCCATCTGGTAGTTAGCCTCATTGTCTTTTAGTGGTCGCATCACTTTGCTAAATTCGGTACTCTCTGCTTTACTTACTTTTTATATGTCTTTATTTTTGCTACCAATTTCTTTGGTTTTTAAGATGATTAAAATTCAAATGGCATTTTTATGGGGTGGGACTGAGTTGCCTAGAAAAATTGCATGGGTTAAATGGGATTATGTATGTGGCAGTAGGGCTAAGGGTGGTTTAGGGGTACCGGATTTGAGGAGGAGAAATTGGGTACTATTAGGAAAGTGGTGGTTTCAGTTTAGTGATGGTGTGGATAGCGTGTAGAAATGGGTAGCGAAGGAAAAATATTATGAGGGTCAGTGTGTGGTGGATATCATAACAATTGCAAATTTAAGGATTTCAAAGTTGTGGAAGGATATTATTAGTTTAGGTGGGAAATCTAGTATATTGAGGGATAAGTTGGTGCAAGGGTTTAGATGGGAGGTGGGGAGTGGTAGTAACGTGGCTCTTTGGTGGGAGAGTTGGGTGGGAGTTAAGGCTTTACGAGATTCTTGTCCTAAATTTTTTGCATTGGCTGTGAATAAGGATGGCTTGGTGAGTGAGATGGGGTTATGGGAGGGGGATAGATGGTGGTGGAATATAGACTGGAGAAGTGGAAGATTAGGTCAAGAAAAAGATTAGGAGGAGGTCATTTGGAGGGTGTTGGATAATATTCAATTAAAGAAAGGGAGGAGGGATTATTGGACTTGGTTACATGACCTAGGAGGACAATATAAAATTAGGGTAGCACATATTTTTTAGCTTCTGATGAGCGCCTCCTCGATACTCAACTTTGTAAGTTTATTTGGCGTCGGGTAGTGCCTTCGAAAGTTGGCTTTTTTGGGTGAAGGCTTTGTCTTGATAGACTTCCAACAAAATGGAATTTGAAAAAAAGGGGAGTGTGTTTGCAGCAAAAGGAATTATTTTGTGGTTTGTGTCATGAGGTGGTGGAGGAGATTGATCATTTTTTTGTACATGCAGGGAGGCTTGGTTGATTTGGGTTAAGGTGTTGTGTTGGTGGGGAATTGAGACTCTGATGTGCAATACAGTTCAGGGGATAACAGAATTTTTCTTGCATGATTTGAGGAATATTACTAGGAAGGAGGTGAGTGTATGTATTTTTCTTGTAGTGGCTTGGTATTTATGGTATTGGAGGAACAATTGTGTCTTCAATGATTATGTGAGTATGGGGGAGCATTTGGTGGATAGGGTACCAATGAAGTCATTTATGTGGATAAAAAATATAGTGGATGGATGTGTGTTTTCTTTTTATGAGTGGAAGGTGCATCCCATTAACTGTGCTATTGTTGTAAAACAATCTAAGATACTGTTGAAGACTTTTCATAGGCAACATCCCGGTTCTCCATGAAGGATCCTTTAGTTGTTGAAATCAGGTGCTGGAGGGAATTAATAAGCTGCAGCTATGAATGTTTGACAACCTCATGTAGGCATTTCGTTTTTCAATTGCGTTTTTTGATTTCTCACATGTTGGTTTGCTGATGTTGCATGGTTTTGATTAAGTGAGTTTTTAATTATTATAGACAGGCAAAAGTACTCCTTGTACTCCATATACTAAAAATTTTCTTTTGCTAATAAAAAAAATGATAATATAACTAAAAATATTAAAAATGTAATATTAAGATATAAATATAATAATTTAGTGAAAAATGTTCTTGAAAAAGCAATTTCATCATTAAAAAAAAAGTCTTAAACTCCTTTATAATGTTTCAAAATGATTGTAAAATTAAATATTTTAAGTTTAATATTGTTAATAAATTTACTGTTATTTATAACTTTATGATTTTTTCTTAATTTAAATATTTGGAGTGGAAACTATAAAGTACTTAGTGTTAACGAGTTATGATATTTCAATTAAATTTAAATATATATAATTTTATTTGTATATAATAGAATTAATAAAAATAATTATAAAAAATAAAAAATAAGATTAACCCGCAAGTTAATCAATAATCTGTTAAGGTTGAATTAGGGTTCGACTTTCTTCATTGAGCTGGTACAAAATGCTGTTGCTTTCCACCTTTACTTTTCAACTTTCTTAATTGGATTAATTCGTCGATTAAGAAAGTTTGGACATATATCATATATAATATAGAGATAGGCATTCTATTGGATTAGTACATCAATCGACCAAAATAATTAACTTTATTAAGTTTGGTTGTAATATATTTTTTTTTTTAACAGCAAAAATAATATTTATGGAAAAAAGAAGTACAAGAGGTACCTCAAACTCTTAAACATCTCAACTTAAAAGGCATAGATTACATAGTTGAATATCCCTGCCGCTTGGTATCGACACCAAAACTATGTGTCAACACCACGTTCGTGTCGGGTTTGGATGCTCAATCCTTCCGTTTCGTGTCGACACCAAAATTACGTGTCAATACCAAGTCCGTGTCGGGATTCTGAATGCTAAGCCCTCCTGTTTGGTGTCGACACCAAAATAATGTGTCGACACTGTGAGCTCTTCACTTCCTCTTCAACCCACCTTGTATTGACTTCAAGCACAACACCGGGCTTTGTATCCAATCTGCACTAGAAAACAGCAATCCAGCCACCCTTCCACTGATCCAAAAGAATGTTCGGATCTGTACAACGTCAAACAACCTTTCGATAGAGCTTTCTGTTTTTCTAAAAATTTGTTCATTTCTTGCTAACCATAGGGTCCATGTGAGGCCAAACCAAATGGTTTCCCAGCCCTGCCTAACCCATTTGTTTTTTGAATAGAAGATATGCTGAACAAAAGCCTTCCTACACTCATTATAATTCACACAGCTCAATCCCCACCATTCTTGACATTTCCACCACAATTTTACTACAAAGGGGCATTCCAAGAACAAGTGGTTGGTATCTTTCAGTGCCGCCCTGCAAAAGCCACACAAGGCTATTGTATCATCCTTTAAAATGCCCCTTGTCTGCAAATTTGTTTTAGTTGGTATTCTGTTCAGTAATATCATCCAATTAAAAGCACATACCTTGTTTGGAATGTATTTGTTCCACACTTTTCTGAATAATTTTGTATCATCCCCTCCTTGTTGGTCTCTTAGCAACAAGTATCCCAACTTTGCTGTGTAAATTCCCTCCTTGGTATGCCTCCAACACCATGCATCCTGTTGCCCTCTGTCTAACATGACATTAAGCATCAAGTTAGATAGCTCTTGCAACTTTTCTTCTTCCCACCCACACATACTTCGTCTCCATGTCAACTTCCATTGCCACATGTTGTTATGCCACTCCCCCATCTGCTGGATTTTGTTATCTTTTCCTGTAGACAAGAGAAAAAGTCTGGGGAAACGGGTAGCTAAGTTCACCTTTCCTAACCATACATCTTTCCAAAATCTAATACCCCCTCCATCCCCTAAATTAATGTTGAAGCCCTCTCCTAACCAATTCTCTCTATTTGGTAAAATAAAATTTATTCTACATAAGTCCCTCCACCAGTATGAGCCCCCCTTAATCTCACCCCGCACCCATTCCAACCACCTTCCTTCTTCAACCCTGTATTTTGTATTCAGCACTCTTTTCCATAAGCCCTTTTCCTTTCCTGCCATCCTACCTCACCACTTTCCTAATAGAGCTATATTGAAAGTTCTAAGGTCCTTAACTCCTAATCCACCTTCTTCTTTAGGTTTGCACACACTATCCCACTTAACCCAACTAATTCCTCTCCCTCCCTCCTTCTTTCCTCAAAGAAAATCCCTCCGTATTTTTTCAAGTTCATTAATCACTCCTTTTGGAAGCAAAAAGAAAGACATAAAGAACACTGGTAGACTGGACAGCACAAAGTTAACAAGAGTGATTCTTGCACCAAGGGACAGTAGTTTGCCTTTCCAAGATGCCAATCTGTTCTTAAAACCCTAAATCAATGGCCTCCAAAATGTGAGTCTTCGGTGATTACCCCCAATTGGAATCTCGAGGTATTTAAATGGTAAAGGACCTCTTCTATAGTTAAGACTCCAAGCTGTTTTCTCCACCCATTCTTCTTCCACATTCAATCCATACAGTAGGTTGTAATATTTATTAAAGTGAAGTGGTTTGCAGTCAGCTTCCAAGTTCTATATAAGATGCATGTTTTAACCGGATTGACCAGCAAAGTAAAGCAAGGCAAGAATGATAGGCAAGAGTGGTCTTTCATAGCTTGAATTTATTCCTTTTTACCATACAATATATAATGATAATTGTTGCATTATTTCAATATTAATTTCAAAAATAATGATAAAGAAAACCAATTGAAACAGTTTATTAATAATTTAAATATAGCTTATTTTTATATTAATGCATAGCTGGTAATGGAATATCAAGAGGCACGTAATTAATAATATAATATAAAAATGGTAATTGTTACATTATTTTAATATCAATTTAAAAAAATAATGATATAGAAAAGAAATTAAAACAATTTATTAATAATTTAAATATGATTTGTTTCTATATTAAAGCATGAGGTGATATGTGAAAAATTCAATTTATTATTACTATTATTATTATTTAATATTACTATTATTACTTAATTAAAAGATAAAAGTACAAGCGAGTATAAGAGATAAAAGGTCTATATAAACAAAAATTTCTTGATAAAAAATGTAATTTTAAATTTTCAATTACAATTATTATATTATGGTTTAGTAAAAAATATAATCTCCAATTGTAATTATTATATCATGGTTTATTGTTGAAGATAAAAAAAGTAATATGATACAAATAACAATTATTGATTTATTGCAACATCAATAGTCAATAACATAGGAACACATGACAAAACTCAAATAATATATAACATGTTTATAAGTAAAAAAAGAACTAAAATAAAACTAATATGACTAATCTAAATGAGACTACGTACAAAGCCAATGATTTAAACAAAATAATGTAATCAAATAAATAGATGACAAAAAGTTTTGAATCCATTCTAATATTTAAAAATAAATAAATAAATAATAAGATTTCAAATCTTAATCAAATAAAAAGGACTATTATAACTAAAATTATTCTATGCTTAGGATAAACCTCTAAAACGGATAAAAGACAGATAAAACCAAAATGATAAGACTTAATATTATAAAATTGAAATAATCTCAAATTTTGATCATTTGAAAAAGTCTAAAAGTCCAATTTACAATATATAAAAATATAGTTTTTCAAAATAGAAAACACAAAAAGTACATTTTAGGTTATAAAAATACAAAATTACCTTAAGGCAAAAAATATATTTTGCTGCAATATGGATTCAAAGACATATTTTCTAATACATAATGTTAAAAATTTTTACACTTTATCCTCTAATATAATTAACAAATATAACTTATATTTCTTTAAAATAACTTTATCATTTTTTTAACATCAATTTTAAAATTTTAAATGGAGTACAAAAGATACTTCTATCCATAAACTAATTTTATCATAAAAATAATTATTAAAAAAATCATATAATATAGATATAAAATTGTTGCTAATTATAACTTTGAAAAATATTCTTGTTAATTATTGAAATCAATTAGAATTTTTTAACTAAAAAATTATTATAAAATACATATGATATAAAATCTAAACACTTATATGAAAAAAATTAAAATATAACCCATACAAAGCATAGGCAAAAAAGGAAAATAGTTATAGAAATAATGGCTCTTCATTTTTAATCGTTATCATTATCATTCATCATGGTATTATAATTCCAATTGTGATTATGTTTTTTAATTAATTTATCGATAATTCTTAATTAAAACTTTCTAACCATTCTATACCTTTTGTTTTCCTTTCTTTATTGTATTTTATCTATCTATACTCTTTAGATTAGTATTGAAATATGAACTTATAAAAATTAAATTATAAAAATAGTAGCCTTTTATTTTCAACCATCATCATTATCATTCTTTTTTTCTATTAAAGTTTCTTTTAATTCCATTCATTATTAGTTTTAAATTATAGGAATTTGTTACTCTTCATTTCCAATGATCCTTATCATTCACTAAATCCTATTCATTTTCAATCATCATTATCATTCACTAAATCCTAATTAAAACTTTCCAACAATTGTATACTTTTTGTTTTCCATTCTTTATTGTAATATATCTATCTCTAATCCCTAGGTTACTATTAAGATACGAACTTATCTTAAAAATTAAGAATTTAAATAAATTTATAGGCATTCATGAATGAATGAATGCAAATATATATCACCAAGTTTTGTTTGATTCATTTCTCTGCATGATTGTTCATATATATACATCAAGGCATATATTTTCACTCTCTCGTCATTTTTATATTGATAATGAATATAATTTTTTTTATTTTTTTATTAAAACTTCTTTTAATTCCATTTATTATTAATTAGGTTATATTTTACATTTTTATTTTCTTATTTAATTAATTAACTAAAATTAAAATGAAGTAAAATTTCTTCATTTTCAATTATAATATAGTAATTTAATTGTGGTTATATTTTTTATTAATTTTTAAATAAATCTTAATTAAAGTTTTCTAACTACTCTATACATTTTATTTTTCTATTTTTTAATATATTCTAACCATATCTAGTTTTTTTCCTTCAAAATATATACAGTAAAAAACCTTTTCATCTGTTATTCTAATAATATCCAACATATCATCTTTCTAATATTATGCGTATCATTTTTCATATCACAATTATTATTCCATGCTACAATTAGTTGTACATTGAGAGTTAATCTTGCTTCTCTACAAATAACATTTCAAAATTATATACATTAACATCTTAAATAATTTTAAATTTATAACATTACAGCATCTCTTATTCAGTGTTTCTTTTTAGGGCAACTATTTCTATAATGTTGTCATCCATATAAATTTTTATAGACTGAGAACTCGACAATGAAACTCTTAAAATAAAATATGGTTTATTTATACATTAAAAAACACAATTTATGTTTTTTTAATAAAAAAACTATAAATTTTATTATATACCTACCACTATTGTCCTTGATGATCATAGATGTAAGAATAGCAACCTCCAAATTTAAGTTATTAGAAAATTTGGTTTGCTAAAATTAATTCACCTTGGAAAACCAAAGTATTATGCTCAAGTTTTTGCTTCAATAAATATAAAATAATATCAAACAACTATCTACAATTAATTAATCAAATATCATATTTTATTCAATTGAATTCAAATAGATTTCATGTAATAACTTCAATAGGATTTATCTTTGATCTTCTATATGTAATTCCATGCAAATAACATCATTATCATTTGCTTGCCTTTCTTGTAAAGTCTCAACACCATCTAAAACTCAAATAACATCTAAATTTTTAGTAAAAGTATTTTTGATAAAAATGAGTCACATATTTATGTAATAAAATTATTTTGAGATAAAAAATACCACGAAGGCATTTCATCTTGTTCTCAAATAGGTTCTCATGATTTGTGAGTTCAAATACAAATCTTGGGATTGCTATTACTTCTTCATTCAATTTCTTGACAATAAAATGAAAATGAAATTTGCTTTTGTAATTATTATAAAAGACAACACGATAAGTATTCCCATTATTTTCCATAAAAATTTTTTTTAACATAATTAATAAAAATTCCTTTCAATCAATTTATCTTTAAATCACTGAGTATTGTGACTCCAAATTATAATATGAATAAAATTTTTCTACAAGCAAATAACAATTGTTAACAGAAATTATTAAATGCCTAAAAGATCAAATGTAATAATTTATAAAATTATCTTCTCATTGATCAAAACTATTATAGTAGTAAGATAGTTTTTGTTTCGTTTCAAACTAAAAACATTTTATAATCTATATATTCACACTTTAATCTTCTAATCTTTTTTATTGAGTAAAAGTTGAGTAAGAAATACATATTCCATATCCTTTGCAATTGATTTACCCCTAGATTTTTTTTGAAATTTTAGCAACAAAAATTTCAAAATAAAAGAAAAGATGTAACATAATTAGAGGCAAAAATTGGTGGTTAAAATCAAATACCTATTCATATTAAAAAAGAAATCCAAGCAACAATATCCTACAACCAAATTTTAGATTTAAAAAAATCTTTAAAACAAAATAACAAGGGAAAAATGTAGAGAGTTTAAATAATTGAAACTTGACTTTTCATCTTCTTTTTGTTGGATCCTTTTTTTTTTTTTTCTTCCATTTTTCTTCCTTTGGTTGCTTCTTCATCTACCACATTTAGAGCTTGTCTGATGTGGTTGGAGCTTTTGATGAAAGTCCTTTTAAAAAGAATTTATTATAAAAGTATTGTTTTTTAGAAGTAAAAGTTGTTTGATAAAATTTTTTAGGTTAAAACCCCTTTTTGGTCCCTGAACTATTGTACGGACCTCCGATTTGGTCCCTGAACCAAAAAAATCCCTGATTTAGTCCTTACTGTTTACCATTTTTACCCCGATTTGGTTTTTCCGTTAAAAACTGTGTGACGTGGCCTGTTACTTCACGGTTACCAGATGACATGTCATATAGCAATCCACGTGGAAGACCAAAAAGTGATGATGTGGCAAAAATAATAATATAAAAAAATATTATGAAAAATAAAACTTAAAATTTTTTTTCTTTTTTCTTTTTTCCTTTTTTCTTTCTCCTTCCCCTTTCCCTTTCTCTTTCTCCTCCCCCTTTCTCTTCTCTTTCCCCTTGGAACCCAGCAGGCATGGGTTCCTTGCGAACCCACCCAGGCGCTGGGTTCCTTGCGAACCCAGGCACTGGGTTCGTAAAGAACCCAAGCGTGCTGGGTTCGCACCAAACCCAGCATGCCTGGGTTTGGTGG